ATCCCCTGATGCAAGCTGGTTTTAACTCCTTCTAGCAAAGTGGATAACGAGGGGGGAACAAAAAGGTAAACACGTGTTAGATCTGCCATCTCCATCCACACTTCAGCATCACTGTTTTTATTAAACTGACTGGCACGGCAGTCGGTCTCTGCAAACAGGACAAGTTTAATTGTTTTCATCGCCTGTTTGGATGCATTTCAAGAAATGTCAGCACTTCATGGGCATCATTACAGCTTTATCGTTGCATGCAGATCATAAAGAGGCAGCTGTAAAAGCCACAGAAATGCAATTATGCAGATGAGATGTAATAGTAACTATAAAAGTTGTCGGTTTCCTATCTGTGATGAGAAGTCTATTTAGGAATGAAACTTCAGCTCTCAGTAAGAGAAGGAAGATCTGAAATTACTAGTGAAGGAGAAGTTTACATCCCACCCTCGGTAACTCCAAAATGACAGGAGAGCTTTAACCATTTTTCTTGTTTCCCAATTGTTATAAAACATCCAAATACAACTATGGGTATCCAAAACAAAATGGTCTGACTTTGGTAAATTTAGTAAAAACCTAATAAATACAAAAAACTTCACTGTAGTTGTCCTGCCACCTAATTGATATAATTGCTGCTGTAAGACAGACTAAGAATTCACCTCTTTAATCGTGGTGCAACCATCAAACCACAGTGTTTGTTATCACAATGCAGATGTGCCTGCAAAAACACTCAATGTTAGAACTTGTGCACCATTGTACCAGGTTTTCCCTATTAGTTAAAAATTCAGGAAAAACTTAGTTACAGAGAGGATTACACATTCAAGGAAGAACATATCACATGAGAAAACAAACGGAGTTCTTGCCAAAGAATCTTATTCAAACAGAAGGATTAATTCAAATAGACAGCTACATAAAATATTAACTTACTACTGGATGAGTAATGAACATGCTGAGAAATGGGCTACTGTAATATTGTAATTACTCCATCCAACTGCCACACTAATACAGACACAGACTCTTCCAGCTCCACTGCAGGAGGCAGAATGTGTGTCTTGGTGGTGGATCACAACATTTGGGACTGGACTAGATAGATGATCTATAGGTCCCTTCCAACCCCTACCCTTCTGTGATCCTGTGTGATTCCAAAATTCTCAGAGCCAGACATATTTCCATGTTTTTTAAAAATTATTTCACAAGTTTAAAGCATATAAAATTAAGAGTATCACAATACCAGAAAAAGTTTAATCAGTGTGCGCAGTTTTAAGTAAAATAGTTTAAATTTATTAACTGTGTCCACAATGAAAGAAAATAAAATCTAAGACTAACTCAGAAGTGTCAAATTGGTCTAAACTTGTTCCAGTGAGCTGGGTGTAGGCACCTAAAGGCTGCAAGCACACTTAATTCCTTCTAGATGTACATTGTTTCATTTTTCGGGGTACATCTGGTTTCCATACAAAAGGCAAGTTTCCAATAAATTTGTAAGAAGTTTACTTTATTGGTTACAGTTCTATAAAATGTGTCAGGATAGTTCCATCTAGTTGGTCATTAAGTGCTTGCAACACCACAGAGACTCTTTAATACATCTGCAATTTCCATGATGGAGGAGAAAAATCCCTCTTCAGTGGCTTACCTGCACGTACAGTATCTTCAGCAAGGCTACAATGTTCAAAAGCAATGACAACCCCACTTTTATGTCAAATTTTAATTTTTAATGTTTGCATTAGAATAGTCTTTATATCACTCTCCAATAGAAGAAACAATATAACTAACAGCAAACTTTTAATACAGGAACATGCTCCAAGATTAACAACCCAAAATGAAAACAAAATGAAATTAATGTAAAATGTAAATCACATATAGTACAATTGAAGTGTCCAAAACAATTTAAATAATTTTAAATATTTTATTTTTTTAAACTTGCTACAAATGCTTTATACAATATTTCAACATAAAGTCCCCATAACAGAAATGTAACAAAATGGGAATGATAGTGAAAGTGAAAGTTAAAGTGGCACAAATTCACCAAACAAGTATTAAACTACAAATTTTAAGAGGTAGATTACTTTTTAAGTCAAGGACAAAAAATAGAAGGGGTGGCTGTATAAAGAAACTAGTCACTTTCCATCGATTCTGTCATTAACCTTGAAAGCTCTATGAACACGTGACAAATGGCATTTCCATAAAAAGCTGTTATGAACAACAGACCAATTTGTTGTCTTAAGTTATTAGATAGAGGTGTACGACCTTTTAGAGTAATTATATATTTAACTTTCAAAATATACAGGTACGCAGTCCTGGTCTAGCCTTCTCATCGATAAAAAGATACACTGAATTCATTATATATATGGCATTTAGAAACTGATACCGGTATTTCATTGCTATATAAAGTTTCATTTTCAGGTATAAATAGGAATTTGGAAAAATCCATAAAACATCCAAATCAGGCTGTTTCCCACTCTATGCTGGACATCTAAAAGACTCGGAAGGTGAGGAGAAGGTGAGAAGAAAAGGAAACTCTGCCATGATAAGTTGGCCTCTACAGATTCATTTAGACAAAAGCTTTAAGAGATTTAATACATGACAAAAATACTTTTGAGTGCAGCAACATTTGTTGTCCCTGAATCTACACTGAATTATTGACAAGATTAAGGAACCTGCTTTGCCAATTACACAACTGAACTGTCTCTATGCCATTCACAAAGGTACGGACAAAACCAGGATTGAAGCAAACACAAGAGCAAAAGATTTGGTTTCGTTAATCCCACCATTTCTTTTGATGGTTTCACGTGGGTTTTGTTCTGTTTTTAATAGTACCCTTCTCTTATCTGAATCATCCTGTAGCACAGCATATGTGTCAGGCATGAAATGAAAAAGAAAAAAATCTATGCCTGACACTGAATATTAGCAAGAAGCCTGCAGGCAATTTTATGGCTGTGAGTCAGCTTCAGCTGGTTTCGCAAGCTTGGTGGATTTCACATCCATTGGCGTAGTGCTTATCCTAAGTTGAGCATGCACCAGCTCTACCATGTCATTAAGGGACTTTTTTGTTTGTTTGTTTGTATTGTTTTTACAGGAGATTCCTAGAAAATAAGAAACAAAAACTGGAGATAAATGACAAAACAAACTATTTGTGAACGGAGTATGTTTACACAGAAAAACTGAAATGTGAAAAACAAATCTGGAGACAAATATTACATAAAGCGAGTTTTGAAAAAATATTAAGATTCCCTGGGGGGAAAAGAACCCCACAACCCCACAGTGCCTACAGAGCAGAACCGCAATTAGCCTGTGCTGACATCAGTGTATGAAGGCAAAATACTCTTCATGCTATATTCTTGATATAAAAAAAAAAGGTGAGGAATCTGGATTTATGAACATGATTTCAGAAACAAAAAGCAAGAATTCTTCTAATATAACTACTCATTAAACCAGTAAGGCCTGCAAGCTGCCAAAGTAAACTAAAAGTATTTGAGACAGTCAAGGAAATCTTGCCCCCAGGTGCATTGTTATTTACCCCAAATGCTACTGAACAATTTCCATATGCACAGATTTCCAACTACTCGGTTATTTTGCTTAAGGTCAAATGATTAATTTAGATGGAAAGATGTGTCATTCTGGCTTCAAATTCTACTGATCTGTTCTGGCATCATGTAAAATACAGTTTCACATGTAACATTAAGAGAGCAGTTGATGAGAATTAAGTAACACAAAGATGTGTATGTCCCAAGAGAACAGGCCTGGCAGACATTTCTTGTTCCTTAAAGGCATTTTTTACACCATTAGTCTCCAAATTCCAGTAACATTTTCCTCCTTCAACAGCCCTTAACGTGGGTATTGACTATTTTTAAGTCAAATTCTTCTCTAGCACTGGAAATAATTCAGTTATACTGAACTTTTACTTTACCAAGTACTTCCTCAACATTTCACCTCGGAGGTCCTCAGCGTAGGACACACAAGCTGCCAACAGTCTGGATTCGGACGCTTGGTGACAAATTCTACTGGGGGACACTTGTTCTAATGCAGGCTCCCCCTCCTCCCCTATCAATTTATTTGATAAAAAAATACTACCCTCAGCCATAAATCTGGTGTTAATCACGGCCATGCACTGCAATTAGCAAAACCAAAAGAACTCCTAATTACCAGTGAGCTTTGTGAAAGTAACTCAGTAAATCAGATATCTATTTCCAAGAATAACAGGGCAGGAAGGTGCTAATAAAAGTTACAAACCGTTTGCAAAATACCCTACTGATCTGAGAGACTACATGAAGACGTAAATTGGGACTCAGGCACGTAGAATAAGATTTTATTTATTTATTGAAGTATTACCCTTTCTTGTGATTAAAATGCTTCTTCTCAAAAAAAGAAATAGAACTTTAATTATAAAATTTGTTTATACTGAAACATAAAAGCATACTTCTAACAAATTTACATGTTCATGTAACTTTTCTTACATGTCTATTTCCCTTATATTAAATATTTAATGATCTGACTCAATTAGTATGCACATACATTTTTGAAGTATTTGGTCATGGTTTTTTTTTATATGATATGCAGAGAATGTTTTTTATTAACCAACAACACAAGTTATTTTAGTGAGTAAAAAATGCAGTCATGATTTTTAGCTCAGCGAACCGCCACAAACTCAATCTAGAATGACTTGGGGCCACCATATACGTTAAGATACCAAATACAAGGTCATTGTCTCCAATAACATGAAGTTTAATGACGTTCAGTTTATTTGCACTCAGGTATTGACATTTTTTTCCAGACTTTTCAATTCAGTTCATAATTAAAGATATTCTCTATACAAACTATGTATTATTTCATGACAGCATGACAAAATGCATCAAGTATGTACATCATACCTCAGCATGACTGAGCTACTTAACCATGTTTTCGAAAATGCAACCTTTTTTGTTTTATTTAAGTATGAGAAACTCAAAAAAGACAAGAAAATTGGCAAAACAGCAAGCAACATCTTCCTGTGTTGTTTCAACTTCAAATGAAATGCTTACCTGAAATCTTTTAGTTCTTGCTTTGTACTGCTTTCATCTTTTTTGTTTTCTGCTGCCTCTGCGTTTGCCGCCTGCTGTAGGCTTCGGGTAATAGGTCCTCCAATCCTCTCTCTGGATTTTACAGTGAATCTGTCTGCCTTTTTCTTACTTGCCACAGCAGCCTTACTTGGCAACCCAGCTTTATTATTCCTTTGCATTCTGACGTGCAATTTCCGGGACGCTTTGCTTGAGATTCCAGAGGAACCATTCTTAGCGACCTTAGTTTTTTTCCCATCAACATGGGACATTTTGGACACTCTTACAGGACTAGAGTTCCTCAATGACGAAGACGAATTTGGCTTTTTAGATCGCATGGGAGGTACAAACTTAACATTTTGTTTTGATTTGAAGGATGCAGAGGGAAGCTGGATTTGTGCAGGTCCTGAGGTCCGTGCTCTCGTCTTACCCAAGTGCGGCTGCATGCTCTGCATTTTGATTTCCGCATCTGCCGTTCGCCTGCGCTGGTTGTTGCCTTTATCACTGCTCACTGGCGAAGAAGAACTTGCACCTTTTTTTGAAGCATTCTTTTTAGAAGAGGGAGAGATGGGTTTTTTGGGACAGCTGTATGACGCGTGCTTATTCAAACTTCCAATGTAAGTAAACTCTCTGTTACAGTAGGGGCAGATGTGAGGGTCTGACTCGGATGAATTACTTTTCAATTCTGCCTTCTGCTGGGCAGATTTCTTTTTTTGCAAGATAGCTTTCTGAACAAGCTGATTTTTCTTTTTCAATGCACTTATTTTTAGTTTATTTGAGGACATTTTGCTCATCTCAACATTGAAATTAAGTCTTTTAGGCTGACCCATTCGTCTGAAGGCATTCTTTCCAGGCCCGGCTATGACAACCATGCCGTTCTTAGGCTGCACTGTCTGTTTCAGTGGTACTGGGTTTTTTTTAGGTGTGTATCTCTTTTTATCACTGGCAGATGCACAGGCCAAGATGTGTTTGTGTAACTCGGGCATGTTATCAACACTTTTCCCACATTTTGTGCATCGAATGGCAGTAGTAAAAGTCTGTGGAATATTGTGGGTAGTGAAGTTCGTTGCAGTAACCCCAATACCCATAGGATTGCGATGGTGATACTGAAATGGAGGTGGTTTAAAGCTTGGGTAGTGTTGATTGAGGCCCATACGAACATCTGGATCTTTAGATTTTACTCCAGAAGCCATTATTTTTATAGTAGTATAAAGCTCTTCAGAGGAATCATTTAGATCTTCATCCTCCTCCTCTTTAGAAGGTTCCAAAGAATCTTCTGGCAGGCTCTGCATGTGCTCCACATTGGCCTTACTGGGGTCAGTAAAATTCTGGGGTCTCAAAGTTCCACTTTCAAACTCATGATGTGTGCACTCTTTGTCTGGATGGAGATCCCGCTGATGCTGTTGCAAATTGCACAAAAAAGCAAATTCCTTTTTACAGACCGAGCAAACAAAGATATTTCCTACACCATGAAGCAGAAAGCGATGTTCCGACAAGTCTGTTTTATCCCTAAAAAGCTGTACACAGAATTCACATTTGAAGGGCCATTCTTCAGCATGAATGGATAAATGCTTCGTTAGGTCTTTAATAGAAAGAAAAGGTGATTCACAGACATTGCACACAAAGCTTTTATTGAATGTTTCCTGCACTATTCCTGATTCGCTTGAAGTATGAGGATCTTCTCTCGCTTTCTGTTGTTCATGTTCAGCTTCTTCCTGTTTTATTATTGGGAGAGTATTTTCAAGATTATCAGCAGAGGAAACAACAGAAGAAACTACAGAAAGAGGTGGTGGAGATGGAGATGATGAAGAGGAGGAGAAAGAGGAGGAAGAGGAAGAAGATGATGAGGAAGAGAGCGTGGGAGGACCAGGCGATGCAGCAGAAATAAGAGGTTCAACAGAAGGAACAGGAGATGGAGAAGGAGACACGGTAGGTGAAAGAACTGGCAGTGGGGACTGGGTAGTAGTGTTGGAAAGCGGCGATGGGCAAGAAGAAGTGTTAGTGGCACTGGCAGAGACATCGGGAATTGGTAACGGCATCGTTGGAAGAAGGGGAGGAGGTGATGTAGCCACTGTTAAGACAGGTGGGCAGGGTGGTGGGGATGGATGGTGGGTTGGTGTTAACAAAGGAGGCAGCTGGCACACGGAGGGTGCAGCAGATGCTGGTGGCACCGGGGAGACAGAGGAACTAAGGGGCTGAATGTCAACAGAAGCCGATGCAGATAAACTGGGATCCACATTAGGTTCTGCCTGAGGCTCCAGGGCTTTGCTTGGGCTCGCACTCTTGTTTACAGCGAGCGTGCTGTCTGTGGCTGCATCCGTGCCGTTGTACTCGTTCAGCAGAACCTTCTGTAACATGCAAGTGGTTGGCTTCTTCTTTTTAACACCACTGCAGGTTGGCTGTATGGAATTTTCCTTATATTCCCTAATTTCAGCATCACTGCAAGGCTTCTTCTGCACACTTAAATCTAAAACAGATTCCCAGGGAACCTGATTCTTATTTTTGACATCAGACCTTTGTTTCACACCACTAGATAAATCCAGGGGCTGCTGGTTGCACACGTTGCCGAAAGTCGGAGCTGCTGTCCAGTCTTTTGATATTTTATAGTCTTCGAAGCAAAGAGGGCTCAAAGTCTCTTTTTCCTCCCTTCCAGTCAGGCTCCAAGCAGGTGAGTTGCTGTGGCTTTCCAACTTTGGCATTTTTGAACTCCGAATATTATCATTCCACACAGTTTTTCCTTCACCTGATTTGACAAAGTCTCGAAGTACTGGGCTGTGCTGTGGAGAACTGGGAGGAGAACTGGTCCTTCTTTTAAATCTACTGGATACTGGAGGCAAAATGGGCGATGATGTAACAGAAGGTCCTAGTTTAGGGATTTCACTTGGCGGAGTTATCTTCGTGCTGTCCTGTGTCTGAAGAAGCTGTTTTAATTTTGATGACAAATAGACACCTTTTTCTTTATGAAAAGGTAAGCTTTCTGTTGAAATGCTAAGAGGGACATTTAAAGAACTAGTAGGAGTTATGGGTTCTGGGTCTATTTCAGTTTTTATTTTTGGTACAAGAGGAGGGCTGGCAGTTCTCCTCTTTTTGGACTCATTGCTCCCACTGCTCGAGGGTTCCTTGGGAGGTTCGTTCACATGTGTTTGTGTAACCTTTAAATTTGAGGATATTTCCACCGTGACTGGACTGATTATACAATTTAGTCCATACAAGTCTGCAGAGTTGGACTCCATCTGAATCACATCACAATTGCTAGTGCTGCTGTTGGACTGAATTTTGCCATCAATATAGTAATTTAAATTTTCAGAGATATTGCTGGAAATATCCATAATATAGACATCATCTACTTCACCTTCCTCTTCTATTTCTGTACTTGCGATATATACACTCTGCACTGGTGTGGCCTGCTCTGTCTGAAGTGGTGGCTCTTCAGTAAAGTATCCTTTTCTTCTGACACCTTTGGGAATAAGATGACGCTCATGAACCCTACGCTGATGCCTCCGCATGTTGGTATGAGTTCCAAAAACCTTTTTGCAGTATTTGCATGGATGCAATTCTTTGGGCTCCTTATTTTCTTCAGCAAAAGCGGAGTTTGACATTTCTTGGGAAACTTTCTCAGAATCCAAGACAGCAGAGTCTTGCACAAGATTGGAAGCGTTCAGGTCATCTTTAAGACCATCATCCACAATTACTTGGTTATCAGCAACGTTATCCAAGTGTTGTGATGACGTTAGTGTTAAGAATGGTTTCCTTTTTGGCCCTGCCTCATGGCGCCTCTCATGTCTCCGCCTGTTAATTTGAGTACCAAAGGCTTTCCCACAGTATCGACACTTGAAAGCATGGTTAATAGTAGAGATATGGATGTGCATGTGGCGTTCAAGTCCTTGCTTTGTTGTAAACTTCCTCTCACAATGCTGACAGGGAAACATGAAAGTTTCCTGAACATCACCATTTGATTCACCTCTCGCTTTTGGAATTTTCACAACCAGTTTTTTCTTTGGAGAGCTTTCTGGAGATTCTTCTGATGTACTCTTTTGCTCTTCCATAGAGTCTAACTTTTCTTCGCATATCAAAGGCATTTCAGCATTTTCTTTAGGCATATTGGTATCTTCTATATCCTCTTCATCTTCCTCTTCGTCATCGTCCTCCTCTTCATCATCATCTAAATCATCCGATGCACAGTTTATTGCTTCTGCTTGTTTGTCTTCAGTCACTATTTGTAGTTCACTAGCAGGACTGGGGATCATCAGCTTTGGAAGTACATCTTGGTTTACCATTTCCTGAATCACAGCTGTTTGTTCCAGGGACAGCACAGCAGAAACAGAAGGCGTTTCATCTTCCTCTTTATGACCTGACACACAAAGTATGAAAAGAAAAGCATGAGGCATTTTTACCAAACACTTCAAAGTACACTACAGCTTTCTTTTACTTTTTCCTCTAACACAACATATCTAACATTTATGACCCAACACAATACCGTTACTTCTCACTCTTGTGATTCAGCACTGAGTGTAAAACTGTATTCAAAAGTTTCCTTCCTGGAACTTTAGCAAAACGTAGGCGACTGCCTATACTTAACAGAGATCCTTCAGATTGAACGTTGTGGCCAAGAAACCTGAAACTGTCTGACGAATACCAGAACATTTCAAGGTAGACTTCAGAACATTTCAAGAAATCTCCAAAAAGCTTTCACTGACTTTTCGTACAACAAATAAGCATCAGGAAAGTACTGCAATACATGTAGATAAAATTTTGGATTTTGACCATTTTCCCCAAATTGTTAACAATAAAACAATTTGGATTTGTACTGTAACACACGGCAAGGTGTACCTTGTACCTGGAATAGAATTTCTATTCTTTGTATCAGATCTATTAATCATTGCCTGAATGGCTACTTCCTACACTTCTGAATCAGAGTCTGCGTGCATCTCATTTACTAGTGTGAATGGATTCTTAATTCGCACCTCTACATGCTAGTTTTACCTATCTGCTGTCAGATACATCCACTGCTGAAGAAAATAGCTTTGCTGCCAATTCACACAATGTTGCAGAAGTGGTTACACATATAGAACAAGAAGCTCCTCTCCATCTTTAGGACAAAGAGCATGCTTAGCAAGGCAGTGCATTAGTACGGTGGGGATTTTTCCCCTTGACACTGACTTCTGTTAAATAGCAAGAAATAATGACTATATAACTAACTTCCTAAGACATTATTTTACAATAAGGACTTTTATCTGTCTTCCGTTCTAAGGAGTTTGGATATGTCTAAATCTTACAGTACATTAGTTTTTTCCTCTTGTCACAACTGCATGCTTAATGACGTACTTCTGATATCCAAGTTCCTGACTAATAAAAAAGTTGGGCAAACAATATAAACACATTCACTTTGCTACACTAACGTAACATGCGAATACACTAAGCATGACCAAAAGTGTGTTTTGATTCAAAAAGGTAGTTAGAAAGAAAGTAATAGGATACTTGAGAACTTACCCTCCTTAGAATCCCTCATATCTGCAGAAGTAGAATCCAAATCAGGCTTTTTCTGCTTTGTATCTGCTGCCTTCTTTCCCTTGTTTTTACCTTCCTGAGTTTTTCTCTTTCCTGGGGAGAAAGAAAACCAATGTTTATTATTTCTCTTCAATAATTTTTATTTTTCATATTTGACTGGCAGAATTAATACACCCATCTTTGGAGTATAACACACCAATTTTCCCAAGAAATACAAATGACAGATCAGTAAGAAGGACAGCATTCAGACTAAGCAGTAAGGCTCTAGAATCCATAAGAAATTAAAAGTAAAGATAACGATTGTCTAAAAATCTGAGACTCCTGAATATTTTAGTCACTTTCAAATCAAGAATAGACTAACAGAAACGTGTTGGCCAGACTTAACCAGCTCACATCATAGTTCCCCAATAATGTCATATGGCTATTAAATTACTGTATCTTATACAAGTATATGAAGAATATGAAATTTCTTCATATGCTATTAATCCTTAGTGTTAACTGGAAAAACCTCATGAAGTAGAAACACATAGAGGCTTCTCTACTTGTACGAACACTCTGAATAATGACTTTATGAATAGAGTTATAATAAAAGCAATGAAGTAGTAACATTGTAAGAGGACTAACGGCAGCATGATCTTGACCAACAAAGCAAAGACAGTAAAACCAAATTAGATGGAACTGGGTAATAGTAAAACAAAGTAAAACATCACGTCCACTAGCACAAAGAAGTTTGCTAATGCTTTCTGTTAGCAAAATTAAGCAGCATGTATTACTTGTACAGGATGATGAATACAATGAAGATTAAGGCAAAATGGCATTATGCAAAAACCTAATCAGTGGCGCAAGATGTAAAGACAATGAAAACTTAATTTACCAATACACTACAAAGTTATACTGCTATTTTTTTCCATTAACCTTAAAGATTCAGTCCTATAATATACAGAAATTGAGATAAAGACTGTGTAATAACAAATGAAACACTAAGGTCTTCCAATTCAATTCATTGCTATGACTATATTCTCCATTCAGAACGGTTATTTTACATACAACAGTGTGGTTGAGACACCAGTTGCCTTTGAAACATCACACTTCTACACACCACCTCTTAGGAACAAGAATTGTCCAGGAGCAGCAATCCAAATTCCTCCTTTGCTTCCACTAAGACACAAAATGCTACATTTTAACACACTGACCCTTCCCTCTAATCAGAAGCGTGCATCATAGCCCTAAATCCATTTCTTATTTAGAGGCACATTCTTCCAACTCACATCCCTGTCAACAAGTTCCTCCTTTATTTCCTCGAAAATATTTTTCACATCTTGAGCCAAGAAACTGAAATGCCTCTTAAAAATGTTCCTCTATTCAAACTGAGAATTTTCAAGTATGAACTCCCTCCAACAGAACACATCAGAGACAGGTCAGCTTTAAGAGGAAATGCCTGTTATTATTTGAACATTCTATTCTGTTCTAAATAATTATCTGTATTTCCTCTCAAGGAACTCAGACTTCACAGGCTCTCCCCAAATTCTAGTGTGTTTCAGTTTCATGTAATTATCCCTTTTTTTATTGTCTTATTCCGAGTTTTAACAGTTTTTATCGTCACTCAGAATTGTTTTTTTGTCACCTTTGGAAAATACAGATGCACCCTTCCTGAAGTGAACTAACAATTATTTCACAGTATCCTCAAATAAAAAAAAAAATCTCTGTGTCTAAATCTGCCATAATGAACCAACACTGATTTATTTGATAATATAATATTCAATTGTACTTTATACCAAACACCTGCAAATTATCAGAAGATTTAGCGTGTATTTTAGTGTTCACACAGGGATAAGGAGTTTAAGTGTATCTTTACCTGACAAGCAAATGTCCAACTTGAACATAATTTTATAATATCAACACCTCTAATGTTTGTAATTAAAACCAGGAGCACCAAGATCCAAGTATGAAGGATTTAAAATAAGTTTGCAGAAATACCTGCTAAGCCACCTGAAATCCCTCTGGAAACGTACAGTAACACGACCAACAAACAGTTCCATTTCAAGGAAAAGGCCTCAATATAAAATGTCAATACATTCCTAGAGATTCAAACAAGCATCACAATCCACCTTTGGAGCGACGTAACAAAGCATATTTAAATGCTAGGACACTTCAAGAGAGATCAACTTTTTTGCAGACTGCTCACCATCTGAAGACCAACATCAGTATCTTGACTTGAATGGCAAAATTCTAGATTAATTTCTCACATCTACAGGTGATACTGGAAACAAGGAGAAGATTGGTCCCCAGGTCCTTCTCATCCACCTCAAACTTGGCCATGGTTAGAGAAGGTATTTTACCAGGCGGTGCAGCATGATAATATTGCAGATGAAGTCACGAGGCAATTCTACATCTAATTCTACAGCAGCACTGAATTTCACAGCACAGTAACGTGTTACTGTAAAAGCCTTCAAACCAAGACCCAAATAATTCTTTCTTATAACAAGACTAGAAATATATTGTGCTATTTAAAGTGTGAGGTAAAGTATGTAAAGGAACAACAAAAATCACTCCTATGTGCTAAAGCGTGCAAAGGTTTTTCAAAGTGTCATCCATTTATAGAATATAAAATTTAATACAATTATAATCTGAGAAATCATTAGAATAGCAGAATTTGTACCCAAATTTGAATTACTTAAGTCACATATTCTTTATGCTATTGATGAAAAGGTCATCGCTTGTGAGTTCTCCTGCCACACTCCTTAAAAAAAAAAAGATGCAACCTGCTCTCGATGCAACCTGGAAATGGTTCAAGTCCTTGGCCTTTAAGTATAAACGCATTTGAAGAGAAGATTTATCTAGCACCTACTTGCCCTTACTCAGAATAGTGAGCAAAATTGCTTGCATACATACATAATTTTAGATGCGCCAGATCGATTTCTGACACATATCAACTAGAGACACCAATCAATTTTTGATATTTTCCTTTTACCAGCTTTAGTTTGTTAATTTTCTAGGTTGCAGCTTTCTTGGTAAAGGTTAAAAGAAACAACTATACTCAAGCACAGCAACAACTGTCCCAGATGCATCCATTTCATGGCCCTGAATGTTCAATAGATGCCCAGAAAGAGAATTTAAGAATAGAGTAACAGTAAAGCTTCAATGGTATCCTATCCCAGTTTTCATGTATCTAGATTTCAGGAACTTTTGAAGATATTTAATATCTTTGACTTTCTTCCATGAGCTCTCAGAAGTGCTTTATAAATCCATGTAAACCTGAAAGATTTGCATCAGCTTCTTCCTGCAGATTGTCAGTGAAAACGCAACTTACTGCTCTGATATAAAGGATATCAATGTGCAGCCCAAGGTCTGACCCTTAATTTTCTTACAGTTTAAGACGTCAAGAACTAACAGAAGCCTGTAGGAGGGGGAAAACGCCTCAGAATACAGAACCTGGTGGAAGCCTGAGTATAAGTACACACGTGCACTTACCATCAGGTTCCTGAAGGGTCCTACATGGCTGCTACTGCCAGCTGGATCCTCCACTTGGTCTAAACAAGAAAGATACAGGAATGAAACACAGGGAAAGTGAAATGGAAACAATGACAAAAGAATAAATGAAGGGCAGAACTTAATGTATGTGTATGTGCATTAAAAGGATTGCAAAAGAAAGATGCAAAGGAAAATGAAAGAAAGAAACAGATGGAAAGTAGCCAAAAGAGGAATGTATCAATTTGCGTTGCAACTACATTTTTAAATATAGTTCCTTTTTCTCCTGTCCTTCACTTATGTTGTAGATAGGTCAGCACAAGCATGATCTGCCTTTTAGCAGATACATTTAACAAAAACATTGCAATAGGCACAGGAGATCTCATGCTGCTGCCAATGCCCAAGTAATTCGGTGATACTTATGCTGCAGTCTCACGTATTTTAGAGGAGTTCAGATGACAACAGAGTGAGAATTTAAAGGAGATAAATAATCTTTATTTGCCCATACTTCATTTTATTGAAGTGTCAAACTAAGACATCTCTAAACGATCTACAGTTACCTGTGCTCATATTTTTGCTGTTAACCAAAATACTAATGGAACTGTAAAACCACTAAGTTATTTCTGGTGGGATGGGATGAGTATACTCAGATGCCAGGAGGGAAGAAGTTAAACACAGTCTTGCCATACATCTGGAGCTGAATTCTATAATTAAATATTGCTAAATTGTACAAGATGCTATTATTTTAATAACCTTTAAGCACAGCACCAAATGTTCACAGTTAAGATCATAAGGTAAAAAGGACACTCACATCTGATCTCAAACACTGTTTTAATGACTTAGAAGAAATATGAGAGACAGATACATTTGCCTCCCAAAAAATCCTGGATTAATAAGGGAAAAGAATTACTGGTATGAGTTTCCGGTATTCCTTTGAAATTTGTAGTCAACAGCTACCTACAGCCAAGTAACTTATCTACCCTATACTCTGCCCATGCTGTTACTGAGAAGTACTACAGACACCTGCCCAAATCGCAAGTGTCATGGAAAAAAAAACAGTGGGGAAGCTACCACAGAGACACCTGCAAAGTATTCTTAGGGCACAGATGAGCGTAGCCAGCTTGAAAAGGTATGGCTAAAGGGAGTGTAGAGAATGAAATAAAGATTAAGTATCTACAGGCTAAAAAAATCTTTACGGAAAATTCATCAGAAGACAACTTCATGACGATTTCCACGTTACTCTGATTAATGAATTTTAAAATACTGATGCAACTTGATTTTCAATTTGAGAATCAATTTGCTGTGCACCAGAATTCCTCTGTTCCTCTATGTAGAATACTGGCAGATGGCATGCTTTTCAAAGTAAATTCCTTAAACCTTCAAGCATCTGTAAAAATCTGACTAGTTGTTTGTTCTGGAAGACAGGCTAGAAAAAAATGAATGCCTTTTACAGGCAAAAAAGCCATATCCAAAATAACAGCATAAATGGCTCCAAAAAATTAAATCCAAGTGGTGTTAGCTGGAGGAGCATGAAAAAATGCAGAAACATGTTGCAGTGACTTCTCAGAATCTTGTCCAACTGTGAATGTAGCAGCATATAAATGTTAAAGACCTTATATATCTAT